TATGTATGTCCACAGGTATTCTAATATATTTTTTACACATGATAGAACAACTGCGGGTAATACATGAGTGCATGTTATATTTGCTAATTTACGGTAATTTTGAATTGAATATAACAAGTCCATGGAATAAAATAATCCTAAATATATTTAATATTTCATCATTATTGTAACTTTAAAATCTGCTCTATTAAAGGTAACTTTTGTAACACTTATCTAGAATTACACCATAGTGCATTTAGATTATTCGTACTTGAAAAAGCAAGTGCTAGGAAGATTTTAAAAGGAGAAAAAATAATTGTGGGGAAAAAATTTGGCTTTCAGTGTTGAATTGCCCCCTCCACAAGCCACCCAGCATGGTTAGTGGAAACAGTTAGCATAGTATTTCTGGGGTTTACTCAACTTCATTTTGGCTCTGCAGTGTGACCTTTAGAAAATTCACATTTAGTCTACAACCAGCTGACATAATTATATTAAAAGTGACAGGCCTCATTATCTTCTAGTGTAGACAGTACCTTAAAGTTCAAGTTGATTCTGAGAGAGGAAATCTGGTGTAGATGTGCACTATATTCATGCCTTTCACATGCCATCTCAAACTCACATTAATTGCCAACAAGAGTATGGCCCCTCCTTCCCCAACTGCAATCTATGCAAACCTCTCTGAGCTCTTAAAGTCAAGGTGGGTTCTTTCCATGTTACGTATCAGTGATAAAATTCCTGAAGATTCTCAAGTTAGACAACTCATTGTCTTCAAATTATGTTTTATGACATCTGGACTACTACTTCACTGAAGACTAAGAGGGCTGCACAGGTATAACAGAGGACACAATTAGCCTATAAAGTTTATAGTGGTGGTGAATGTGAGTAAGGAGGGTCTTCTCTTAACTTTCAGAACCTTAGTTGGCTATGACCACTAATGACTAGAAAATGTTTAAGCTGCAATGGAGCAAATTTTATATGAATTAGTGGTACACAATAAACACACAATAGTACAAAGTCCCCTTCAGGTACTTTTCAGCTTTGAAGTAGATCTGCACTTCAAAGCTGACACTATTTTTTATGGGAAAGTTTTGAAGATATTTATGTAAAACATTAACAGTATACAAGGATGCTTGTTAACAATATTTAAAACTCTAAAATTTCCTGCTCTGGTCAGAGGGATTTAAAACCTTCAATCTTAAAAAAATATTCATAAGTGTGCTGGTATCAGAGATGCACTGTAAGCTTTATAAAACAGAACCATGTATTTGTGAGTGGATCTTATGTGCTACATTTCTTACTAACACAGGGTATGTCTACACTACCACCCTAGTTCGAACCAGGGTGGTTAATGTAGGCAACCGAAGTTGCAAATGAAGCCCGGGATTTAAATATCCCGGGCTTCATTTGCATCTTACCGGGCGCCGCCATTTTTAAAGCCCTGGTAGTTCGGACTCCGTGCCCGCGGCTTTCTAATTAGGCTTTCTAATTCGAACTACCTACTCTGTGCCGCGTGTAGCCTTGGGCACGGAGTCCGGACTACCGGGGCTTTAAAAATGGTGGCGCCCGGTAAGATGCAAATGAAGCCCGGGATATTTAAATCCCGGGCTTCATTTGCAACTTCGGTTGCCTACATTAACCACCCTGGTTCGAACTAGGGTGGTAGTGTAGACATACCCTGTGTTAGTAAGAAATGTAGCACATAAGATCCACTCACAAATACATTGAGAGCAATGCAGCCACATCCCTTAGATTGTACAGGGAGTGATGCTTTGCTTTCTCTTTTTAGGGTGAGACTGACACAGTTAATCTCAGATATCTCTGCTATTACAGTGACAGAACACTCCTCTACTGTTACAGATTGCTAGGAAATTGGATTGGACCTCCTGAAAAATTAATCCAGGATAATTCTGGGGGGAATTAAGATTGGGGGGAAGAGAATGTGTGATATGGATTTTATTTACAAAAAATGTGCAGTAATGTTCACAAAATCAGCCCCTAGGTATTTCATGCAGTATATGTTGAATTTCTTTAGTCTGGTACTTACGGGACCCGACTAATGCCAAACCAGAGAATTTGCTGAACCAAGGGAGGTCAATATTGTCTAGCAGCATTGCCAACACTTCCACTACTTACTGGGATCTTAGAAGACATTTAAAGGTAAATTAAATAAACGAAAGCACAGAACCCTGAGAGCCAGGACAGGCTGTTGTAAACAAACTTTATGGGACCATGGGAAACTTGACCACATCCATGATAAGTGGACATCTGACTACAGGCCATCCTCGTTATAAGTCCAAGCTACGTTCTAAAAAACTTGGACTTATAGCAGAACAACTGAAAGCATGAAATTATTTTTCCCGCGGCTGACTTCCATTTGTGCAAATTGTTGTGGGTTTTTTGTGTGACTTAAGAGCAGGGAATGGGAGGACTTATAACACATCTGTTTCTACAAGTGTCAACAACTTTAGTGAGTAACGGATGTATCGCAGAGTGACTTATAGTGGGGACACCCTTTAACTAAATTCATGCCAGATAATAGATGTTGCCAGATTAGGTTGTGCTGCACTAGAGAGGTTCAACCTGTAATGCCTTTCTGGTGGCCTAGAGAGTATGATTTGCACATGAGGTTTAAGGAGAGATGCAAGCAAACACGGAAGAGGATTGCATTGCATGAAATCTGCAAGGTTAATTTATTATAGGTTTACTAGAGTAACCATTCATGACATTACCATGTTGGAATCAGACTAGTTTTACCACTTCAATATTAGATTATAAAAATAGTTTAAGACATTTTAGAAAGATAGAGCTTTCCAACTGAAATTAAAAATAAAACAAAACACTGAGAAACCGTGTGTTCCACTTTTATAATACGTACCGTATATTCTTGATCATAAGCTGATTTCCCCCCCCCCCCAAGTTAAAAAAAAATAGTAAAAGTTACAATGACCCATTCATAAACCAACTCTATATTCAGGATGTCAATGTGTAGACAACTACATGATTAACTGATAAGCTTGGGCTTATCAGAGGAGCAAGGTGGGTGGAGGGAAATGGAAGCCAGTGCCTGCGAGGAGCTGGCTTAAAAGCCAGCTTCCCACAAGCACTGGATCTGGGCCTGTCCCTGCCCTCCACATTGCTGCCTATCATAGAGAGGCAGAAGTGTGGAGGATGAAGGGGCAGGCAGGAACTGGCTACGAAGCAGGCTCCATGGACCTATCTGTGCCTGCTTGCTACCTCCTACAGAGGCAGTGGGAGTGGGGAGGAGGCAAGAGCCAATGCTAGGGGGGAGCCAGCTTAAAAGCTGGTTCTCTTAGCAGTGGATCCACAGTGCCACCTGTTTCCTTCCCCTCTTCCTTCCCCTCCCCATCAGAGGCAGCAGCATGGGGAGGGGGAGGCTTCCAGGAACAGAGGCTGTTCCATGGCAGCAGCCCCTGTCTATGGGGGAGGGTCCAACCTCCCTGCAGGGAACTCAGAGCCCCTATGAACAGGGGCTGCTGCTGCAGAGCGCCTCTGCCCATTGGGAGCTTGGCGCCCTGTGGAGAGGGGTGCAAGGTGGGGGCCAGTCTGCATGGGGAGCTGTTTTTTTTTTTTTAAACCAGCCCCCCTTTTAAACTAGCTGGGTGGCTCCACTGGCCACCCAGTACTACTGCTGCTGCTGATAGAGAGGCAGCAGTGTGGGATGGCAGGGGCTCCCCGGGAGTGAGGCCGGGAGTGAACTAGCTTCTAGCCCTGCCCCTGGGGATTATCAAATAGTCGTATAACTGCTAAAATTTCATGCTGTTACATGACTATTCAATTTACACGCTATCTAATATCCCTACTCTATATCAGCAGTTTGCAAACTTCTGGTTCTAGCTTGTCAGTGGAAGCTGTTGGGATGTTTTGTTTACTTGGAGTGTCTGCAGGCACAGAACCTCTCAGCTCCCATTGGCTGCTGTTCACCATTCCCAGCCAATGGGAGCTGCAGGAAGCAGCCAAGGGACATGCTGGCCGTCACTTCCCACAGATCTGGAATGGCGAACAGCAGCCACTGGGAGCTGAAGGTCTCCGTGCTTGCAGACATTCTGCCACACCAGCTGTTTGTCCTTCTGGGCTGGGAACTGAAGTTTGCTGACTCCCCCAATTAAAAATAAATAAAATGGTAAAACACAATGACCCTCTCTTTAGTGCATCATTTTTCACCAAAAAAATTAAGCTTATGATCGAGTATATACGGTAAGTCATTCTTTCTCTAAAAGATAGCCATCCTTTGCAAATCATT